CGCACCGCACCGCACCGCACCGCACCCCACCACACCACACCACAGCGGGCGGTAGGGCGGGATACCATGGGGTGGAGTGGGGGAGGGGGCTCGGGCGACGCTGCACCATATATTTGGCGGCTTGCCTGTAAGTATATCTGCGGGTGGATATCATCATGGCCTATGTTTCTCTGCACATTGTATGAGTTCGAAATATATTGTAACGAAGGTATACATGTGCATCTAAGCCAGCATCCAGCAATTGTATGCATATATCAGAATTCATGACTATGAGTGCATCTGAATATGCAGGCATGACTTTCATGTTAAGATATACCATAGGCAGGCATGCACAGGTCACCCATGTATGTATGCATGTACGTGTACATTTATGTATACATGTATGCGTATGTGCATGTATACGTATATGCGGACGTGGACGTATGTGTGTATGTATATGTACATGTATGAACACATTTGTATATATATATATATGTATATGTATGTATGTATGTATGTATGTATGTATGTATGTATGTATGTATGTATGTATGTATGTATAAGCTCCCGGCTCAGATCTGGTCGCTACCAAGGGCCCTGATGCAGGTAGCTGCAGTCCCGTGGCCATTCCACGACGATGCGTAGACATGCCATGGCATGCATTTATCTTTCCTACTGCTTACGTGTCATACAGCATGGCAGTGAGCATAAGTCCGAAAGTCCGACTGCACTGCCATGCCAAAACGTGCCAGCCACCGCTCGGCAGCCCTGCCCGATGATCCAACCGATGACCCGGACAGTGGAGATAACATCTCGGAGCTTGCAAGCTCTAGCACCCTGGATACAAGACAAGGCCTGCTCTATGATGCGAAGGTGCAGCTCAGAGGCCGTTGGCGCGAGGAACTGCACGAACAACTCTGCCGAGCACCTGACCTTGCACGATTGGATCAGCTGGCTGCAGCCAACCTGTCACCTGCAAGGCAGGCGCAATGGCAAAGTTATAGAGAGGCCACCACCCGGCCCGCAGAAACGGCGACTTCCTCTGGTGTCACTGCACTCTGCAACAATGCACATCTCTGCAAGCTGGCAGAAGGTGCGGATGCAGAACTGCTGCAGCTCCTTGGCTCACTGTATAGCAGGCAGCTGCACCCCAGCGTCAGCAGCAAAAGTGCTGCCTCCCATGTGGGCCATCTTACGAGAAAACTACGCGGTGAATCAAAGGAGATCCTCTGCCGAGAGGCTCTCAAACTTCTGCAAGCAGGTTCCAACAGCCAGAGCGGTTGGCGAAGAGAAGGTCAAACGACCTCGTCGAAGCTGAGGAAATCCCTGGTAACGGAGACCCCTCAGCCATGCTGCTCAGGACGGCTGCTTATAAACCTACCCCAAGGCCCATATATACCCACATCATGCTTCGCAGGAAAACTGATCTTCATCGCTGGCACAGCTGTCGGGCACCACGCCGAAGCCGCCGGTATCGATCAGTGCTTGGACCTTTGGGTCGGCTGATCGCCCGGTGGGAGATATTCGCAGGGCAAAATGGGGCCGCCCTGAGGGCGACGCTTTCTGTATGTATATACATATATATCATTATATACAAGAGTCGGAGTCGAGCCAGGTCCCGGCAAGCGGGTGAAGAACGAGCCAAGCGAAGCGATGGATTTCGAGAGAAAGGCCGGCAGGGCTTTGGCTGAGTTTTGGGTTCTTCGGAGACGCGGCAGTAGTACTACTAGTAGCAATAGAAATAATAATACGAATGGTAGTAGTAGTAGTACTACTACTACGATAATCATAAGAATCAGAATCAAGATATTTGCCCTGGGGTCCTGTGGCGTGGACATGCCACCCAACGGCCCAATAGGCATAGAGACTTTAGATGCAGGGCGTGACATTCCCCATAATCTATCGGCAAACCCAAATGGTTTTGACACCAAGTCTCGGAGGTGATCATGCATGAAAGTTTTGCATGTTGCCCGTGGTGGACACACAGACGGCAGCTTCTCACTCACAAAGTTCTTTCAGACCACCAGGTGAGGTTTCAGCCTTCAACCATGAAGCCCAAACCTGTCAAGACCTGAACCGGGCCCCTAAACTCTGTATAGACCCTAAACCTTGGACCCCAAACCCTGAGCAACTCTAAAGCTCTGGAACTTCAGATAGACCCAGAACCTTAGCAGTACCCAGATGGCTTTACTTATTACCAACGGACCGTGCAAAAACCTTGCAGCAGTATAAGTGCTTAGAACAAACGTTGTCTAAATCTTGTTGCAGCCAAGATCTAAATTCTACACCAGTCGCATGAAGGGGCCGAGCTCTTTTGACAACATATGTCTTCCAGCCGCACATGGCGCTGCAGAAGAAATCGGTTGGGTTTGCGGTGTTAGAATGACTACGCCCTAAGATGTAATGTAGGGGCCTTACAATTACTACCTATATTTTTTTGGGGGAAGGGGTCCTTATTATAATTATAGTATAATGGGCAAGACCCTGTTGCAATTATTGAGGCCCTTATATTACACCCTTACAGTTGAGATCCCCAGTCCCCACAATCAGACCCGAAGTCCTAAAGTGAGAGTTGAGCACCGGACCCCAGTCCCAGAATCTCAATCTCACATTTCGGGCTCAAAGGGGTCCTAAGTCTGAGCTCCACAGGGCAGCCCGAAACTGCTTCTTGTAAGCTTCTATTCAGCGCAAGACCCCGAATCACAACACCCTCGAACCTTTGCACCCTAAAGCCCTGATACCTTTTAGCTTTGAAAGCCTGAAGCCATCCGGCCAACACCGGAGCTGCCATGAGGTTCCAGACTTCACTTCTCAGCCACAGGACCCCCCACAGATCTGAGTCAAAGGGTCGTAGAGTATTTGCTCACAGGGTTTCTCAACAGAGGTTATCGTGTTTTGATGGAATTCGTACATGGACCCTCAGTAGTCTGTAGGATCCTGGACAGAAACTCTGACATTTAAGGGTTTGGGCGCCAGGTGGAGAGTTGATCTTGAGCCAGTCAGTCGGGTGTTCAGAGTCTTTGTGCTGTGCCTCTAGAGCCTAGACAGTGAAGCCGGCAATGTCCTTGCAGCCTGTGCAACTCTGTTGCTAACCCGAAATCTCTGTAAACACAGGACCCGTAATTCCATGAGAGTCGTTCGTGGCGTGTCTCTGGGGAGGAATCATTGGCACGCGATGAGCTCCGCTCTCGGAATTGCCTTGAACCGTTGAAATTCTGAACATTTAGAATGCAGAGGTTCCTTTCGATGGATACCTTGATCATAGTAGCATATTGAGAAGGGATCATCTGGCGCATGATTCAAGCTTGTAGGTTC